TTCATTTATATTACATTGGTAGTCGAGCTAGTTTGACTGAATAATAAGTTCAACATGGTCAGGTTACGGTTCTGTGGAGGCCACTGACGTCCCTCCATACCAAACTTGTCAAACCATGTCTTGGACTGAATTACACCGAATTGCAAAGCAAAATAACCATGCAGTGATAATTCATTGCACATACAGGCCCGAAGCAGCACTGAACAAAGGAACAGCATGTGAAGACCTACTGTGGATTACTTTGAGCCCTGCATGTCTCTCCAGCTCATCTGCATATCCAGTGAGTCCTCACAGAAGCCCTAGCTGGGGTGTTTAGCTGTTCATGTTGCCATAATTAGCCACATTTGGCTGTAACATTATGCACTACTGTGCAGAAATGGGGACTGGAGTCAGTAAGCTGACTGACTTACAACTCAACTTGGAATCAGAATTCTGTCGAGCTTCGAATAACGAGGCATACGTTATAAAAAAACTTCAGACAGAAGAAGTTTTTATTTGATGGACGTATGCCACAAATGTAAAGTGAAACCCCTTAAAATCCCAGGCTTATTACATACTAAGGCTTATTATTCTGTACAACGACTAAAATGCAAACTAGCTGAGCTGTTTTTAGGTTATGAAAGTGGATAATAAAACTTCGGGCCTGTCAGTGGGCCTTGGCCATTTAAGGGGTTAAAGGAAAGTGGAAACAACTTTAAATGGTTGTCTAGCATGTAGTTTTTGATAGCGAGTATGCTAGCTTGCTCCAAAGCTACTGTAGCTTAAGTTGTCAGCTAATCTAGCTGATGTTTTAGTACATTACAGATCATACTCTCTTAAAACTTACTAAAACTTGAACTGAATTGACTTGTGAACATGTCATACATCTATGTGATGTTTAAGCTAGCTAGTGAGTTTGGCCAAAAATCGATTACTACTGCATTCATGTGAAAAGCAAGCCCGGGTTAGCAGTCCTCTAGCTCAGGGGTTCTCAACCTTTTCCACCCCAAGGCCCACCTATTTACAACTACAAAGCATAGGGAGCCACAGGAAAACTAAAAAGGTCTATAAATAAATTCTCTTTCTCTTTTCTTAAGCGCCGACATGGAAAACCTGAAAATCAGGGCCTGAAAAAAATCAGATCATACATTTTGGTTTAATCACAGGTCCCAAAATGTGCAGTTATGTTAACCCTCTACTGCACACATTATGAGAGCAATTAAAAAATATATAGTCAATTTTTTTGACTGCCTTTTTTGCATGAAAATGGTCTGTTTTTTGGATCTGTTTATTAAATTCAAAAACATAAAAAAATAATAGTAATAATGTGTGCATGGGTCCTTTTGGAGTATATTGCCTTGAGGTAACATTGTGTGACAATGGGAAGAAATAGTATAGATCCATGTTCCCTGAAGTGGTGAGACCTGGCTTGTGGCTGGCTAAATCCATTCTACTGTCACACAATGTTGCCTCTAGGCAACAAACATATTTCTGCAAACTGTCAAAAAAAAATTGATACTGAATGTTAACAAAGAGGTTTAAATGTGCCCACTAAGAGATTTTTATTGACTTACTCAAGCTCTTCTCTTTATAGTTAACCCTATGATTGTCTTTAAATTTGTATAATGTCACTGTAAAGTGAGGAAAATGAATTTGTTGCCCTGAAGCAACATCATGCAATAAAGGGTTAAAAAATATATTTGCAGAGATGTTAAAAAAGGGTAAAAAAAAGCAAAAAGAATAAAAATGTATGAGGTGGACGTGGACTATAGTTTGAAGCTGCAGCACATTGCACTTTCACAGAAAATACTCCACTGCCTTTGGTCTTGAGATTTCTCTTCAGTTTTGAGGTTATTTGTGATTCATTTGAAATAGCCAAACCTCACTCCACTCACCAGGTTTTTTGGATCAGCTTCATCACAAAAACAAATGCATATCTTCACTATTATTTTACTTTACAGCAGGTGCAGAAACAAGAGCAAATGAGGGTCTGTAAAGAGTCAGACGTTTAAAACAGGCAGATTATGCTGGCGGTACAGCGCCAACGGGCTGCTAGAAGAGGACTGCAAGCTCTCTTGATGAATTCCCTCGTTTTATCATAGACTGTCTGCAGCCAGGGTTCGTTTGGAAGGTGGCCCACAGGTTTTTGCCAGACCACAGTTCAGCTGTCTGCTGCAGACCCAAATATGGGTGAAGTGTTCATAGATGTCAAAATGGAGCGAACTAAAGAAAAAGTCTGGTAGGTCCACACCAAACAAGGCAGGTGTGAAAGCACCCTGAGAAACTTCCCCATCTCTGGCTCGCTAACTGTCTGCATCTCGCAGCTGCGTTGTCTCAAATTGATGACGTGCAGTCTTTATTTGTACGTATATTGGCTATTAAGTTAATCTTTTTCCATTTACATTTTTATGGCTTAAAGTGACATTACTGGCCCACTACGAACTACTGCCTCCCCAGAGTTCAGGCCTGTGAACCATTACAGGGTGCTCTGCGGCCCACTGGTGGTTCACGGACCACAGGTTGAGAAACCCTGCTCTAGCTAACCACCAAGCACAAGCTACTGTGCAGTGAGAGTAAACAATCTTGCTGGTCACACTTCTTCTATTTTACAGGCCCACCTAACCAGCTTTGAATTGATTCTAACATCATTTAGGGACTTCACTGGGCTGAATATGTTTGTTCTACAACAGAAGCCTTCATTCTGAGCAAAGACGAGCAAACGTGCCTCCTATCATCTCATGAAGCAGGTTTATGAAGTGGGTGTTAGTGAAAGTTGCATCTGAACAGTGCTGGGTGTCATGGTGATGAAACAGTGAGGAAGCAAACACAAACACACACACACACACACACACACACACACAGAGTGTTATTATTGTATGAGTCTGCTTTATTCCAGCACTGGCTTGACATTTCAGATGGCACAGAGCGATGGCATCACTCATGCCAAACCCGCCCCGAGCCAGCGAGATAGGGAGAGAGAGAGAAAGAGAGAGAGAGAGAGAGAGTGCAGTGTGGACTGAATCAAATTGAGTGAGTGCGAGATCGAAAGAGGGGCTAGAGGTGGAGAATATAAAACAGAGAGTTTGGTAGAAACTATCAAAGGAAGGAGGACGAGAACGAGTGAGTTTGGCAGCAGGAGGACGAGAAAGCGAGAGAGCTCATTCAGGGAAGCAGAGAGAGTCTGAGTTGAATCTTAATTAATGGATTGCGGTACGATGAGTCACTGCAAGCTATTTTTAGAAAGAGCAACAATGCAGGAGGCGTGACTGTTTGTGTGTGTATGTGTGTGTACACTGACCCACAATGTTTTGACTGAGTGGACTTCAAAGATTTGACCGTATGTGTCTGCATACCTGGAGCCGTATTAGAGAAACTTCCTCTCCTCCATCCCAGGTTGACACTAATTCGTATTACAGAAGCAAATCTTATCCTAATTTAAGAATCTTATCTCACAGCATCATAACTAATCTCAAGTTAGGAAAATCATGATTCACTCAAGGTCAGTAATCAACTGTCATGTCTATGACTGGCGATGTTTATGTCTCGCCCTCAGCCGGGATAAACACATGATTGAAATGATGTAAACAAAAATGTAAGTTGGCTAGACATCTAGCAGACACTCTTAACATGAGAGACAGAATAAGCATGTTTATTACTGCCTGAGCAGTGATTTGAACCCCAGGCTCCAGCATGCAAGGCTGTAACGTAACCCACTACACTGATACTATGAAAGAGCTCCACAGAGCCGCCTCAAATCCCTATTTTTTTGATTTAGAAAGTTTGGTGCCCCTTACTAATGTTTGTCTGTTTGTTGTTCAAAAAAACACTACGAAATATCTTTAGTGCTTTAATTGATGGGATTTCCAGTGCTGTGGTGATGCATGACCTAACAACGGGTCAGAGTTATCGGAGCATTGTAAACGAAAAGGAGAGAGTTTACAGGTTGACAAATAAACGGGAAATCTTGTAACAGTCAACATTAGGGGTTTAACGATACTGAAGCTGAAACTGAAACCGCAATACACACGTCCACAGTTTCGTACGCCACCTTCCAGAACCATGATATCCCCTCCCAACCTCAACCTGTGGCCACCACTGCTGGTGCAGCCTTTTGAGCTCTCATTACATTATAAATGTAACAAAACTCATTTTTCATTTTACAGTTAACACAATCAAATATGCAAATCATGAAATTATTATTCTGTTTCAATTTAGGGCAAGCCATACACCATGTATTTTAATGTTCCTTTCTTTAGGGTTCTAAGTTGTTGGTGATTTAATTTTTCTTATTTACTTATTTGGAAATAACTGCTCAGATGTCTGCTGAGTGGAGAGGCTTTCCTATAAGAGTCCCGTTTAAGTGCTTTTGTTTTAATGCCCTTACTCACTTCATCTCACCTCAGATGATACTCTGCGAATAAATGCTTTGACTTTTGTTGTTGTTAGCCATGTAAACCTTAGCATGCTAACTAGCAAGCTGGCCGAGTAAGTGATGAAGTTGTTTCAGCAGTCATGTATAACAGATGGAGTAGTTTGCAACCTAAAAGCCAGCAAATTAAATGCTATAGCTTTCACATATTGCACATTTAAAGTAGTTTACTGCTACTGCTAATAAACAGCTTTGCCCATCATTATTTTGGGGTTTGAAAGAGGAAATCCATCAAGTTGAAATGATTTCTAGGCAAGTTCATGTACACTTAACCCCTTGTGCTGCCAAGAGCTCATTTAATAAACTTCACTTGAGCTAATAAAGTAATGGAACCGGCCTTAAGGTGGTGCCAGAGATTTCTTGGAAGAAAATGATGAGGCCAACTGGACAAGGGCACGATAAAACTGGTACTGAAATGGATGATGGGACTTTGGGGTTACTTCTGAGGAGATGCTAAAGAGCGATGAAGCTTGTGAATCCCAAACTAACCCATGAGCTCTATTTCCAGGCCAAAGGCTGAGCTGATCCTGAGATGAATGGCCATGAAAAACACAATTACTATACACATGAAATATGCGCATCTGTGACTAACCTGTATCCCTATAGAGGATCTGGGTGTTTTCAGGTACTCCTCAGCTTTGGACACCAGTACCGCTTTGTCGCAGGTCATCACGGAGCTGTGGCTGTCGGTGGACGGGTGTCTCTTTCCTGCCATCGCCATGGCTGCTGCCTCCATGGCGATGGTGACTGCCTTGGCGCTGTCCAAGCTGTCTGTGGAGTTGTAGAGAGCTCGGCCTAAACCCAGCCCCAGGCCCTCCGAGCCCCACAAACCTGGGCCGCAGGACAACAGGACAGAAAACAATAAAGAGTGATGTCATAATACAAGAACAAAATACAGAAAGTAGGACCATAATAGCCCATAACGAAAACAGAATAAAAACAAAAATAAAGATCAAAATACTGTGATGTCATAATAGAAGAATAGAAAGTGAGGCTGTATTTGCTCATAATAGGAGAACATGATAAAAAGAAAGGCCGTGATGTCATAACAGAACTACAAGATGCAGTGAGGTCACAACAGAAGAATAGAAAGTGAGTGAATAATTGCTCATAGCAGGAGAATTGAATACAACCCCATTTCCAAAAAAGTTGGGACGCTGTGCAAAATGTAAATAAAAACAAAATGCAATGATGTGCAAAACAAAAACCCTATAGTTCACTGAAAATAGTACAAAGACAACATATCAAATGTCGAAACTGAGAAATTTTAGTGTTTTTTGAAAAATATTTGCCCATTTTGAATTTGATGCCAACACCACGTTCCAAAAAGTTGGGAAGTGGGGGCAACAAATGGCTGGTACAGTTGTGTAATGCTAAAAAAAACACCTGGTGGTTAATTGGCAACAGGTCAGTAACATGATTGAGTATAAAAAGAGCATCTCAGAGAGTCTTTCAGAAGTAAAGATGAGGAGGGGTTCACCACTCTGTGAAATACTGCACAGGCAAATGACGCTGCAACTCAGGAATAACGTTTCACAAGGTAAAATAGTAAAGAACTTCTGCTTTTCATCATCTACGCTACATAATGTCATTAAAAGATACTGTGGAAAAATAGAAAACAATCAAACTATGATTGTTGTGATGGAAACTATGGAGCTGTATTTCAGTAGTTTTTACCAAGGTTTAGTTCTGACACACAAACATCAACTTAGACTAATCAACTTAATCCCCAAGATCAGCTTAGTCTGATTAAATTGTTAGTTTGGTAAAAATGAAACGTACACAATTTTCCCCATTAGTCTCAGATTAAGTCCCTCAGCAAAGTTTGTTTAATGTCCGAGGTTTGCTTCTTTAATTTTACACTGAAGCTACGAAGCTAATGTAGCTAACAAATACTGTATTCTACTTGTGTTGCTTTTAAGTCAAGCTATTACTGCTCAAAGGTTTAGAATAACTTGTCAAATTAAACATATATTTATTGATTTCTTTATTTTTTATGTATAATAATAAATTATACAATGTAGATTTAAATACTATAAAATGTAGATACCAAAATGTATTTTTAGATTTGTAAATAATATTTTGGAACCAATAACAAAAAGCTATTAAATGACTAATCACACACTGCAGTTTTCTGTTTACAGTCATTTCTGTCATGTTTTCTGTCTTTACATGTAATAATCACTTTTAAAATGTTGGTCATTCTGGATATTAATTTTATTACAATAATGCTTGATGTTCTACAGCTCTGTTCATCATTCTGGAAACATCTAACATCTCTTCATTTTTAAGATGAGTGGCACTTCATGGAACTGGCTTCTAACTGGCTCACTCACTCACTCATGTTTAGCAGGCAGAAAATCTCCACAAGGGGGCACCATTAGCCATCAGATAGCTTTCGGTTCTTTTTAAGAGTAGTGCTTAGAACCAATGACACTGTGTGGCCTTGTTTTTATATCTTTCAACTTATTATCTGAAAACTGACAAACTATGTTACATTCAAAGCTTTTTTTTATTGTAAGCAATGATTCCAAACTTTTGATCTATATTGTAAGTGAATCAGATTGGTCAGTGTGTGGTGCTGCTGACCTCCTCTGGCCAGGCGGCCCTCGTGGTAGGCGTCCTGTGTCGACTCGGTGCTGCTCTGTGCCGTGATGGAGATGAGGGGTTTGGAGGTGCTGCGAGGGGGCACGGGAGGGGGCGTCCGCTTATAGGTGGGAGTGCTGGGGGTGTAGGTGACCGCTGGGTAGGAGAGACAGAGAGAGACAGAGAGAAACAGATGTTTAGAGTTTTAATTATCTGTTCAATTTGAACAGATAATTAAGCAAACATTTTAAGAGCTGTTATAATATCAGTATTTACACATAATCATTTGTGAATATATGTCAAATACACTGTTCCACTCATTGGCCACTTTACTGGAAAAATCTACCTTGTACTTCCACTCACTGTATGAGTTCCACCCACCATAAACAGAAGTGTATGAATGTCTGAGACCACCTCTCATTTATTTAACGTCAAGTTCATGTTCAACATCAGGAAAAAAGCAGGAAACATAAATTTAACAGAAAATTACACGGAGGCTTCTGTTCAGTCTTCGATGTTGGTTGCATTTTATGCTTTTTTCCGATCTGAAGGAAGAATAAAGATTTAAACACTGTTTATCTGACGAGGACAGCTGGTGGTCTACCAGCTCTTGTATGGCTGTTGAGTCCCATTTTCTCCATGTTTTATTCACATATTTTCATTTGACTTTTGATTTCTAATTAAACAAATGAAGGATGGTCTCTAAATTTTGCACAGTTCTGTAAAATGAATGCAAACATTTACCAGACGATTCCAGATGGCCACAGTTTTAAAGCACAAAAAAACAAACTTAGCAAGAAACTTTTACCCACATACCAAAAACCAGCACTTTAAATGAAGCGTGACACGTGAGTGTCACTGCATTAAAGAAGTTGCTGAGAAAGTGTGGAAACTGTGAGCTTTAAAATATACTTCCCTCTTCTGGTGTAAGCGTGAGTCTATGTGAGCGTGTGATGAAGACTGCTGACAGTTATCTCCACTCGTCCTGCTCTGGTGATGAGCGAGGGATTAGCCTCCAAACTCTTTCTTTCAAGTGCAAATGAAAGCGCTCCTCTAATCCAGCCAGATGGACCACTAAATGGCTTTTTTCGGGCTTGATCGGCCCTCTGTCGCCTTTTTAAACGGAACTCTTTGTCAGACGAGCAGACTGGAGGGTGTTAGCAGTAGAAATTCCTCCTCCTTCAGCTCAGCGGGGAGAGAGGTGAGCAGTGAGGGTCAAGGTGTGCCCACTCACTGACCCTCCCTGGAGGACTTCATTAGAGACAGGGGCCTTTTGTTCAGCTGCAATTTTTGATGCAGTTGTAATAAATATACAGTTAATAAAGCTGCAGTGAAGTTTCATGAAAGACTAGCAGTGATTACAGCTGTCTGTGTGGGTTTATTAGAGGCAGTTAAAGCTGGAAGTTTTTCCCCTCTACAATTAATCCCTATACAACTTAAACCATGAGTCTTTGTCCCCGGAGTGACTGGGCATGTCTATGATGGTCATAGTAAAACATATTATCCATGGGCGACATTTGGGGAAGGCACAGGGGACATTTGCCCCTGCTAAAATGGTCGTCAACTCACTTTAATTACGGCCTATTGACAACTGTCAAAACTATCTATTATGTATTCTCACGTTTCGTGTGACGTCACACCGTATAGTTGTCGCCATTTTGAGGAGCGAATCAGGGAGTGACTGCGCCGAGCGATGCCTTCAATTTGCTGTGCTTTGTGAATGATTCACCCGCAAGACGAGACAGAAACCGAGAATGACGAGAGACACACAGACCTTTAATTCAGTGTTTTCACTCCAGGCTTGGAGCCGCTGCACTGTATAGTTTAGTGTTTCTCTCTGTTGTTCACGCCTCGTTCAGCTCAAGAAGGGATTAATTAGCTAATAATATCAGATATTTTAACCAGGAAACCACAGTTATGCAGTGCAGGGGTTTCAGGACTGGAGCTGAACTCTGAACTAACCAAACTAGCAAACTTACAGAATCACGTCTGTCGAAACACGACATCGCTTTCCGACCCACGACATTCAGTCTGATATTTAACGTTTATGTTTCTCCATTCAAACGTCATTTAAATCAGAAACAGAGAGTAAAGTTATACCGGCTGTTTGCAGCTCCGTTAGGGGGGACGACTGTTTATCTCTCAGCTGTTAACATTAGCAAAAGTTCTCTAAAGGCCAGCATTGATCTCATCTGTGTTAGTTAGCTGATGTCGTTCTTCAAGGAGTTTTTTCTCCTCTTTATGCAACAACATGGGATCCTTTACCCACCCTGATGTGAAGAGCCGGTGGGCTTCTGTGCTTTTAAATACTTTGAGAGACTCTCCAGAACAGGCGGGGGGGTTGTGTATGAGATAAATATAAACGTCAGGAAAACACAAGTTTGGTAGCTTTTCCGACAGTTAAACAGGACCAGGAGTTCGGGGGAAACTGTATGAGGATCGCAACCTTGTCAAGGTAATGTTTTTTCTCTTCCAAAGTAAGGTGAGTAATTCAGGCCATCTTCCACCTCAAGTTACATTCCTGCGGAGCAGCAAAGCCAGAAATGTGGTCCCAAATATGGCGGCCACAACAGAAAACATCACGTGACTGAAACCCTAGGATAGAGACTGGTCTGCAATGTACTATGTACAACGCAATGCAATGTACTATCGAAATGCGTACTATGCCACGATCAAGAGCCTAGCTAGTAACACAGTCTCTACTCTGCTAGCAGATAGACTTTCAAAAACTATGGACACTCACGGTTAACTTGTGTGCTCAAAACAGCCACTGAGGCCCACAGCGTCCACGGAGGAGGTCCGGCAAAGGAAAGTGACTGGATCAGATGCTGACTCTGCTATGGGTTACTACAAGGAATTGTATTTTGGTGTACTGGACAAAACGGTTGAACCATGATCGGTTTCAGGAAAATGACATGGAAACGCTAATCACCCTGAACAACATTCTCAGATGTCAGATCTAGGCCTAGATAATGTCAGTAATCTCTTTAAATTGCTCCTGACCATGCCAATGAGCAGCACACCATGCGAAAGGAAGTCTTCATGCTTGAGTCAATTGAAAACTTACATAAGAAACACTACGAGTCAGGGTAGACTGACGTTGCAGGGCTGAATATTGAACGGGCCATTCACACGGACTGAAAAAACAGCCAATGTTTTATACTTACTATATAGTTGACTGAGATGGCTTGCCCAACCCTAGACAAGTCTTAAACGCTGAAATACACTAAAATATGGTGTGTGTGCACTGCTGCGATTCACGTTCATCCTTCTTTACGTATTACCATCACCCGCACAGGCTGAAAAAGAATGTCTGGCTCAATGTTTAGGTCTTAAATGCAAAATCAATATTTTACTGATGAAGACATGATGACTATAGTAGATGATTGGCTCACATCCTCAGAAGACACCTTCACCAAGTATTGACAGAGTTTTCTTTTAAATTCTCTTTCAACGTGCTCGCAAACATCAGATTCATTCACGCGGGGAAGGGGTCAGAAGCACCATCCACACTACAAATTGTTCTTCCACACATTGCATGCAATTACACATTTCCACCAGAGGGGTCTCCAAATCTCAAAGCTTTGGTGCAGCTTTAACTTTAACTGACACTTTCAAAGTGGTTTACTAATCATTGTAAAATTAGTTGTCAGTTGTTTATGAGTTCTTATGAGTACTTATTATGAGTACACTTGCAACTGAAATATGCCCATTTATGAACTTTTACTTCCATGTCATGTTATCGCGAAAACAGATTATTATTATCTGTTTATATTCACATAAAGGCTTTTCAATATGCTCACTGCTGAAAGATTACAATGAATTGATATTCAACTCATTTGTCAAGTTGAGTAAACTTTAATTCTAAAGCACATTTAAAGTTGGCCAAAGTGCTGCACAATAAAATCAACTACCAGTGATTTGTCAAAACTGCACAACAAGTTCAACAAGGAAAACTGCAAATAAAAACAAATCAAAAGAAAAAAAATTAAACAAACTAGAAAAGCTACTGATGGTGAGACAGAAAAACTATGAATGAACAGATGACTGAATGCATAGTCTTTAAAAGGATGCGAATTACTGAGAAAATAGGTTTTTTAAAAACACTGAAATATCTATTGTGGAGGATTCCTCTATGAAATGTGGAAGACTGTTCCAGAGTCTCAGGGGCAGCTACAGAAAAGGCCCAGTCACCACTGAACCTCATTCAAGAGTGTAGAGTGGCTAAGAGCAACAGGATGGAAGACTGTAGGGCTTGTGAGGAGGAATGGAAGCAGAAGAGGTTATAAAATTTTAAATTCAACTCTATATTTCACTGGTAACCAGTATAGTGATGCAAGTACAGGGATAATGCTCTCCTTTTTCTCGGTACCAGTGAGGAGCCTTGCGGCTGCATTTTGGGCCAGCTATAGACTCGACTCAACAGATTCCAAAGTGCAGTGAGTTGTAATAATCAATATGAGAGAAATAAAAGCAAGAACAACTTTTTCCAGGTCCTTAAAAGGCAGGATGCTTTATGTTTCGCTATACTCCTGAGTTGGAAGAAGTTACTTCACACAACAGTGTTTATTTTCTTCATACAACTAAGAGCAGAATCATAGATAGACCAAGATTTTTTAAGTGGTTATGTATATTGGACGATAATGGCACCAGATCATTAACTAAAGCTCTGGCCGAATCAGAAAGTTCTCTCCAACAATCAGAAATGAGGTGCAGAGAGCCATTTCCGCCCGGTTCGAGCAGGAATTAGAGCTGTGTGTCATCTGCATAACAGTGATAGGGGATTTTGTACTTCTGAAAGATGCACACAACACAGCATGTATAAAGGGAAGAAAATAGGACCCAGGATAGAGCCCTGAGGTACCCCACAAGTAATAAGTGTTGAGGAGGAGGAAAATAGGTGCTGCGGAAGAGGTAAAATGACCCGTCTTGACAGAAAACGTTCTATTTTCCAGATAAGAGGCATAGCACTTCAGCGCATGTACCCTGGATGCCAATATGACACTTCAGGCAGCCCAACAAGATGGTGTGATCGCGCTAAGGTTGCACCGAGGTCTAAAAGAATTAAAACAACACACGTTAGATACCTTAAGAAGAGCTGACTCAATAATATGGTGTGCTGTAAAACCTGACTGAAATGTATCTTGGATATTATG